TCCTTGACTCCTAGTCCCACCTATCTTGTTTTCCTATTGGCCAACAGTACTTTATTTATCAACCAATAAGACAATCATATACACAGAAGGACCTCCCCCATCAGACTGCCTTCCATTGCAAATGTGGAGAAGTCCCATCCAGCACTCTCCTGGAATGAGCCTCTTTCCCCATGCTTTGACAGTTCCTATGAGCAAGGAAGAGGAAGCACTCCTGGGAGAGGCATAATGCTGAGACATCAGGAACCAGAAGTTTCCTTTGGAGGCGATCCTAGATAAGGTGTTGGCATCAATGCAAGGGGTCATATGTGGGTGAAGAAAGGTAGAAGCATTAGAGCTGCACTACTCATATTTTAAGACAGCTTTGTAGTTCTATGCCATCTGACAGAGTACCTCAACTCCCTGTCTCTGAGTTTCTAGAATATTAATAGGATCATTGAGTATTAGAGTAAAGTTAACAATAATCATGATTCAAAAGCCAGTGTTTCTAGAACAGCAGTGCCTAGAAAAGTACAAGTGCTCAAAAAAGTGGACATTATTCTTATCAGACATGTGAGATCAGTAGCTATAGTGATACTGGTGGCAGGACATTGATGGAGCAGTTGGAATAAAGACAGCTGCTACAGGTTAGGTAAGATTATTTCAGTATACATATAAGCTTTAGTCCTGCTCTTTGATTCTATCAACAGTGGTCATTCTCTGAGCTATTGTAACACAGTAAAGTAGGTTTGTTAACAGCAACATTGATAGTGCAGCTTGGACTTCATAACTGAGAAAATCTTGAATTTAATTAAGTACCCACTCAATTGCTACCTTAATTTGTGGCTCTTGATTTCATCACAGGACTCACTAACCACCACTTTGTTACTGAATTTTAAATCTCTGCATAGCAGTTATTGTCTGTTTTTATGTCTTTGTTTGCTTCATTCATTCATTTTCTTGCTTATGTCACCAATATGTATTACATTGTTACCATGTCACAGTCACTATATGTGCTAAGGCAAGCATGCAAGAATGAAATAAATGAAATGGCTTGTCATCATGGGCAAGGTGGATTAAAATAAATAAGTAAATGTGTAGTAAAGCATTATGCCAGATGGTGGTAAATCTTATGCACAAAACCCATGAAGTGCTCATCTGGGATGTGGCATTTAGGCTTAAAACTACCTGGCCTATTGCAGAGGGCTTCACTTCACCAACAGATTGCAGCTAGGCAGAAATTTGAAAGAAGTGATGCATGTGTCTACCTGGGTGAGATGAAGTCACCAGGAAGGGCGAGTTCAGAATAGGCATGTTTTGTTCACATCAGAACAAGGAGCTCAGTATAGCAGGAACAAAATGTGAAGAAGGGGGTGTATTGACTAACTTTTGCCAACTTGAATGAGCACCACAAAATTGGTGGTTTCGAACAACTACTACTTGTTTAAGCTCAGTAACCTATATGTTAGCAATTTGGCTTGGCTTAGCCAGGCAGTCTATGTTCTAGTCTCACTAACAGACTGGGCCCTGGTCAGTGTTATGGCACTCATGTGGGGTGGCTTACTTGTGGCCCATGTTGCTCTGTTATCCCATGTTTGTCCCCAGTATGTCTCTTTTGCCATGTTTTCTTGGTCAGAGGTCTTGCAGCAGGCCTGGCTTCCCAAGGAGAGGAATAGACTCCTCTTGGATTTTGTCCTAACCTCACTTGTCCACTTGCATAAATGAGTTGTAAAGCTTCTTGAGGATCTGGAGGTGAGCTTAAACCTGGGATGATACAATCACTGAGAAGCTCTTTCAGGCTACTCTGTTCAACAGAGACCCAAGAGCAGAAACCAACTTCCCAGGAAGGAGTCTGCTGCATTTACCTGAGTGAGATTTGGCATATATACCCAAGAGCTGTTTTACTTTTCTGCAATGTTTCCAGTGTGTAGCTGGAACATTGTGAATTTTCAATACAGATAGGTTAAATGAAGGAGTGAAAAGATAATACCAACTTGAGTGCTGAAGGGCATGGGAGAGATTGGAAGGGAATGTAGAAAGGATAATGATGTGATTCTATTTCAATTAAAAACATATTTGAAAATGAAAAGAGTGAATGAATAATGGGAATTTAAATTGTTGAGGTGAACTTGAGAAACCAAACAGGATCCCCCTCTCAGAATTTCTGTAGGAGTTCCCCCATAGCCCTTGAGTGTTGTGCACTTGCTGGTCTATGCTTGCTGTCCTTAGACTGACTACTGGAGTAGGGAGAGTGCCCCTGAGTTAAAGCACTTAACAGAAAATGAATGGACATAAAGCCAAGGGAGGCAGGGATCCATTTGTGGAGAGTTATTTAGTACTGTGTGTTAAGCTACTTCATTTTACTCCATTGCATTCTGCATTGTTTCCTTGAACCTGTAGATTGAGTTTTTATTACTATAAGTAGAAGTAATAAAATGGAGCTCTGTGCTTGCTTTTTGCTCTAAAGGAATAATTGGCCGAATAAACTCAAGAACTTGAAGAGCCCTAAATGGTATTGTCAGCAAGTTAAGAAATGTAACTCTCTCTCTCTCTCTCTCTCTCTCTCTCTCTCTCTCTCTTTGTAATTTATTTCTTCTGCTTCTAGCTTTGTGTGTGTTTATGTGGTGTGTGTTTGTGCGCATGTGTGTGTGCTCATGTGAGTGTATGTGAGATGGAACTTCATTAGTTCCAAACACAATATTCAGTGACCTTTTTTTTTTTTTGTATTTGAGAACCACAAATATTCTAATTATCTTACTCTAGGGCTTAGAAGTATTAGTCCTCCCTCAAAACCTATATGATGTTAGAGTTTTGCTCCCTGAGTGACGTTTCTCCATCTGGCACCAGACAGGAATGATCGAGTTATTCAGGAATTATCTTTCCACGATGGTTCCAAGCTCATCCTGGATGAGCATTTGTCCTCTGCTCTCCCTCCTACTTTCCCCCATTATCATGTGTCCCTTTCCATGGGTTACTTCCAAAGGTGTAAGTTACACAGACTCACATAGCTGCATCCCTTAGTTTCAGAAGCTGACAAGCCACTGCTGTAATTCTCTCTCCCAGGTGCTTTAAACAGGGTGTCCACACTAACTCTCTCCTCACTTCTGGATGGCTCTTCACTCCACTCAATGCTGACTTACTCTTCCATTACTATCATGAAACTGTTCTTGAAGCCAGCCATGGCCTGGCTCCTCTGGAGTTCTCTTTTTGTCTCACTCAGAATGCTCAGGTTTATTTTTTACCTGCACATTCACATGAGCACACACACACATGCACACAAACACACACCATATAAACACACAGGAGAGACAGAGAGAGAGAGACAGAGAGAGAGAGAGAGAAAGAGAGAGAGAGAGAGAGAGAGAGAGAGAGAGAGAGAGAGAGAGGGGTCTGTGTTTTGCTTTGATTTTTTTAAAATCCTGGTTCTTCCTCTATTGAATATAGAAGTCTTTTGTGTGAATAAATAACTACTTACCTATTGACAACTTCTTTTGCATACCTAAGGAGAATTAGACTCCAAGTGAGTCTGTAATGGATCTCATGGTCTTCCTCCTGAAATGTCCTTCCTTTCTAAACCCCACCTTTCTGTGTTTTGTTCCCTTGCTCCCCTGTGTCATATGCAGCCACCCCTTGTCCAATGCACTTCATCCTGTTTGGACCAATAGCAGCATCTTCTAAATGGCATTTCTGCTGTTTCTACACTCAGGTTCCTGTTGCACAGTGCAACAAGAGAAATGTCTGTCGTTAACCTCTTTAGCAGTTGGTTGTCTAGCCATCTTGGGAGAAATCTCAATTCCTTTAAAAGAACTAAGTTCCCTTTTGATGCAGACCAGGCCTGCTTCTCTGTACTCATTTCATGTTTCTGGTCTGTCTCCTGCTACCTGTGTTCTTCACAGGCCTCCGAACGCTGCCAACACATCTGCCATCTGCATTCTGCTAAACGCTTGTGTCCACTGCACCTCATAGATGATTCTTACTGATACATCTCTAGCATTTTGGATAAAATGTTATGGTTTGGATCTTAAATTTCTTCCACATGCTAAAGGCATGGTGGCTAACTTGTGACACTCTTATGAGTAGTAGAATTTTTAGGTAATGGTGTCTAGTGAAGGCAGTTTGGTCCCCAGATACATGATCTTGAAGGTGATGTAGGAACTTGCCTCCCTTTTCTTGATCTCTACTTTGAAACCATCATGAGGTGAAAACATTTTCTTTGTCATATGGTCATGTGATGTCTCACTGTCTTGCGGCAGGCCCCATTGCAACAGAAGTAAGTAAGCAGGAACCAGAGTCTCTGAAAGGGTAGGCTAAAGTCCATCTTGCTCCTTTAAATTATCTGTCTAATCGCATTCCTGTTGCCATGATTAAATACCATGACAAACACAACACAGAGGAGAAATCTGACTCACAATTCCAGTTTACAATCCACTCTTTTGGGGATGTAAAAGTAGCAGGACCCTGAGGCAGCTGGTCACACTATATGCACAGTCAAGGGTGGAGAGCAATGAATCAGTGCCTGTGTGTCCCTGCTCCTCTGCTCACTTCTCCATCACCGTCCCCTTCCTAGAGAGTGGTGGCACTCACAGTGAGCTGATCTTCCCACCTCAGTTTATCAAGAGAGTCACCCCCAGACAAGCCCACAGGCCAACTTAATCTATACATGCCTTATCGATAGTCTCCATGTAGCTGGATCTAGATGTATCAACTAGAAACAATTAAAACTAACCATGTTTATCTGAAGTATTTCACAGCCGTTGAAAAGTGACTGGCATAAATACCGTTTTTTTTTTTTTTTTGTGTGTGTGTTTTTCTTTTTTTATCTAAGGGGTTTCTTGGAATTCCAAACCCACCTATGTTTTTTTCCCTTTCTCTTCTTCCAGGTTTATTGGCACAGGTTTACATCCTGACTTTTTCATGTAATTTTTAAAAATCTAACATCCGCTGGGCTACATGCTACATGTGAGGAGGGCCTTTACTAGTCTCCTGTCTTTGCACTATGTATGAGCAGAGCGACCACGATGATGTTGATGTTGATGAAAGAATAATTTTATTTTGCATGATACATGGGTTTAAATTAAAGAAGCCATAATTTCATCTTCTTGAGGGCCAGATTCTCTGTTGCCCCAGAAGCATTGATTTCTCCTCCCGGATATATGTAAAATATAGCTGTTTAAAATGTCCATACATGCGAATCTGTTTCAGGACAGTTTGCACCGTTTTACCATATAGCTTTAAAGATTAGTGAATAAATAGGCAGGCAGCACGGAGAGTCAGGAATAAATAATTCACCGCATCCCGAATGAATCATGCTATAGGAAAGCTGACGGAGTCATATTTTATTTATCTCTGTATTGAAAAAATCAATCTGTGAATTTCCAGAGTGGTTGGTCATGGTAGTAAGCATTTTGGCCCAGCATGTGTGAAGTGAGTGTTATTCTGAAGGAGACAGCTCAACACTAGGCCCTCATTTTTCAATGTCCTGATCACACTGGTGATATCCCTGCATTCACACACACGGCCGCAGCGTTAGCACATCTGTCCTTCTCTGTGTATTGCCAACCTGTGACTTAAGTAATTGCCCTGAAATCCCAGCTGATGTTGGAGTGACATTGCCATTCACATTGAGTCCAACTCTGTCTCTCTGTTTGTCCTCCTCAAACACCCTGTCTGGGCAGCATTAAGTCTTCATGAGGTTATTGTTTTGTGCCTGTAAAACACCTGAGAACTGGTGTCCAACCCTCTGGATCAAAGGCTAAAACAATTCTGCTTTACAGACACTGTTCACCCAGCCCCTTGGACATCTGGTTTGGTGAAAGTATAAGTATGGGCAAGGGCAGCTCCACCCCTGCTTAGAGGAGCGCATCAGCAGGGACTGGTGTAATGCACTGTGCCTTGCATTTCTGCTGAGAGGTAGTTCCTCAGGTCCTGGCACTGAAGTCTGTGGTCAGTGTGATCTTATACATGTGGATCCAACTTTGTGATGGCATCAGTCAGACAAATAGAGAAAGCCTTGCATCACCAACACTGAAGACACCAGCTACAAGAACACCTTTGAAAAAAAAAAAAGCTGAGTTGATAAACACAAAAGAGATCATTTTCTTTACCACTCAAAGTGTGTCTTCTGTTCCACATCCTACGCCAGCCAGTGCTTTCCTACTGAGCTGTGTCTCTTTGGCTGTAACATTTAGCTCTTCCAAAGACATATCTGAAAATAGTGTAAGCCAAAGTCTTTTTACTGACAAAGGTAACTATAGGGAAAAGTAAACATATCCAACTTCCTATTTAATTGGCATGTCCTCTTTGTGGGAATAATTTTATTCTTGCTTCCCGCCCAATATTTTAACAATTCTGATTACCTGCTAACATGTGGGCTATCTGCATATGCAACATGAATATCTTCATGTATCCTGTTGCTATCTTCTCTCAGGCTTCTGGGGTGGGGGCGGGGCTCTGGGTTCAGCTTTATTGATGAGCTCATTCCCTTCTCCTAAGTGGATGGGGCTGTGAAATCAAGAGCCACTTGACAGTGGTCCTTAGCTGGGGAGGAAGCTGGCAGCACAGGACCTGAGTGGAGCCTGAGACAGCACAGGAAGAAGGGCTAAGTGCACAGCTAATGCAAGAGCCGTGGAGGAAATTGATGAATTAAGGAACTGGAGGGCACTCATTACAAAATAATGGCTGAAATTAGACTCGCAAATTTTGTCTTAATAAGGAGATGGGCTAAATATTTCATCTTAAGTTATTCTTCCTTCAAAATGCCCTTTACAAACTCCCATCTCAGCTTCTGTTAAAAATATCACTGCAGAACCAAGAGTTGCAATCTCACTTATGAGCATCACTGATGTTTCCTGTACAAATGGACAAAGTAATCACAACAGCCCAAGGCACAGAGGAGAGTTAAATGCTAAAGAGCAGGAGTTCTGAGATGATTTCTATTTTAATTTTTCAGACTACGATTCTGATTCTCAAAACAATAATCAAACTTGTCAAAAGGAATCATAACCCATAAAAAGTGAACAACCATGGATGGTGTAGTCAATTTTTATATTAGTAAGTATGAAAACCATTTCATCCTGATGGCAAAGTAAGTCTTGTGAGGACCCGGAACCTGGTACCCAGGCCAGGGTGTCAGGGGAGGGGAGGACTGGGTGGAGGTAGGGGGGTTGGGTTAGGCTTACTGGAAGACAAGTAGAGATTACTGCCACACAGAATAATGATAGTTTCTGGAAGATAAACAAAGATATATGTGAAAACTGAGCATGCTGGAGATTGACCTTAAACAGCCCTGAGAAGATGAAACCAGAGACGCTGAAGGCTTCTCCCAATTATCTGTTTTTCCTTTAGTTTTTCTGTTAAAAGCAAGATTTCTGCTACTTCTAATTCTGGCATTATAAACTATCTCTGTTAAAAGTGAAATAATAGCTTTCCTTTGTAAATAAAAATATCCGCTTGGTTAAAATATCAGAACTAGAGGAATGGATCCCATTGTTTGGTTCTTCAAAGATGGCCTGGTGTTGAGATTCTAGTAAGTGCCGTTCCTCCATTGAGGCCTTCTGCCCCCTCCCCCATTTCATGAATGTATTGCTACATTTTGTGTAATTCAGGAAGGTAGCATCTATCCAAAAAGATTATCTTGGTGAAACTCTGTCCTTTGTAAAGTCAATCAGAAATAAGACGGAGTTCTTTCAGTGGTATTCTGCAGTGTAGACAGGCCTTCCATTGGCACACTGGTCATCTTTGGTGATGACTGTCTCTGTGACAAAGTGACCTGGACGTTAGTCTTGGTGGCCTCCTTCTGGGATTGGAGTTTCTTACTCTGTTTTGTCATAAAGAGAAAATAAATCATGAGGCATGGAGTTGTCACCAATCCAGTGTATGAAGGGACATTGGTAGATCACCTTAAGCTATAGTGATTTTGAGGAAATAACTATATATATATATATATATATATATATATATATATATATAT